GGCTCCCCTCTGCTGCTTTTTATAAAATATATATATTCTAGAGCCCCAGTGCACGGGGATGGGGTTGGGGGGAGGGTCTCTCAGCCTGGCCTGCACCCTCTCTGATCAGGAACCCCTCAGGGGATGTCCTACTGTGGGATTGGGGCTAAACCGGCAGTCGGGCATCCCTCTTGCAATCTGGGACTGCTGGCTCCTAACCGCTCACCTGCCTGCCTGCCTGATCACCCCTAACCACCTCTGCCTGCAGGCCTGATGGCCCCTAACTGCTCCACTGCTTGCCTGATGGTCCTAAACTCCTCTGCCTCAGCCCGTCACCACGACTTTGTCAGGAGGGATGTCCGGAAGACATCCGGTCTAATTAGCATATTATCCTTTTATTAGTGTGTTTCAGAGAGGATGCGAGAGGGAGAAAAAGATAGAAGCTTCAATGATGAGAAAGAATCATTGATCAGCTGCCTCCTGCATGCCCCCAATGGGGATCGAGCCTGCAACCTAGTCATGTGCCCTGGGCTGGAATTGAACCTCGAACCCTTCAGTCCTCAGGCTGATGCTCTGTCCACTGAGCCAAAACAGCTTCCCCTCTGTTTCTTTTTTAAAATATATTTTCATTTATCTCAGAGAGGAAGAGAGAGGGAGGGAGAGCTAGAAACATCAATGATGAGAGAGAATCATTGATCGGCTGCCTCTTGCATGGCCCACACTGGGGATCGAGCCCACAGCCTGGGCATGTGCCTTTGGCCAGAATCAAACCTGGGACCTTCAGTCCACAGGCCGATGCTCTATTCACTGAGCCAAACTGGCTAGAGCCGCTCCTCTGTTTCTTTGTTTCTTTTTAAGACACAAAACTTAATAGAAATTTTATTTGTAGTTCTTACATTCTCAGTGTGAACTGAACTGGAACCCACTGCCCCTCCCAGTGGCCCAGTAACGGAGGCAGGGAAGAAAGGGAGCTGGTGGGGGTATCAGAGCCCCAATCTTCCTCAGTGCTGGGGGGCTGAGGGATCCATCCTCTTCTCCTGCCCTCCTCCGGGCTCCAGGAAGGAGAACACGTGAAATCCTGGGCCTGGGGCTATTCCACACCCCACACGCCCCAAGGTCGAAAGGAGAACTAAGGAACCTAAGGGGGAGAAGGAGACAGAAGAAGGCAAAGATGTGGGCCAAAGGAGAATGAGAGACAAAACACCAATAAAAAAAGGGAGAGGGAGGGCAGGAACAATACCAAAGTCTACCCCAAATTGGAACCCACCTGGAAAAAAGGAAAGTTCTCTAGTCTCATAGAGACATTATTTGGCGCAGCCAGCTCAGGCCTCAGCCCCGCCCTGGAAGCGATGGTGTGGCCCCTACAGCTCATCCTTGGCCTGGCCGGCAGCAGCACCTTCCTCCTCCTCCTCCTCCTCCTCCTCCTCCTCCTCCTCCTCCTCCTCTTCTTCCTCCTCCTCATCTTCATCTTTGTCCTCCTCTTCCTTCTTTAGTCTCTGCTCCTCATCTTGCTTGTCCTTCATTTGCTTTTCTGCTGCCTTTGTGACTCGCCATGTCTCGTTGCCAAAACTCTTTGGCATATGCTTCATCATTGGTAATGAGTACCAGATGGTACCAGACTTGATCTGCCAAAGGTCTAGGCCCAGAATGGCAAAGTTTCCATAAGCATAGATACTGCTATCAGGAGAATGAATACTCAAGGTTGTCAATCTCTGGATGAATCCAGTGCCCTTTGTAATCCAGGTTGTTGATCTGCCAGGGCTTCCACTTGCCCTTGTATTCTGGGTTCTGAATCACTGGTGGTTCATACTCTCCATCCATGCCTTCATCCCAGTCCTCAGGCTTCTTAGCATCAGGGTCAGGGTTGTGCTCGGGCTGGTCCCAGTCCTCAGGTTTGGAGTCTATGGTGTCATCAATCTTGGCCTGCTCTTTTCAGCCTTCAGGCTTTGAAGCATCAGGATCCTTTATCTTGTTGGGTGTCGGGAAGTCCCAATCATCCTCCAGAGAGCCAGACTCCACCTGGCTGTGGTCAGTTTTCACCTCGTAGGTGTTATCGGGCCATAGAGTCAGTGTACACAGGTGTGTGAGTTCATCATCCTTGCAAAGATGTCCTTGTTGGTGAGCACGTTATTGTCCTGTAGTTGAAGATAACATGAACCTCCTTGGTCCTAGGCCACAGATGTCAGGGCCAAACATGATGTTGTATTCAGTCTCTGTGCATGTCAGTCTGGTCCAAACTATCTGGAAATAGCTTTACATAGCGCCGATGTTCTGCTCATGTTTCACGGTAAACTGCACCACCAGTGTGGCCAAGGCCGGGGCAAGATTTCCTGGGCTCAGACCCCAGCTTTGCAGATAACTAGCTGTGAGAGTTTGCATAATTGACTTTACCCCTTGAAGTTCCAGTTTCCCCATCTCTAAAATGGGGGCCCCTTCCTTCCAGGCTTCCTGTGAGAACGAGACAAATGGATCCAAGATGTGAAACTGTGCTCAGTACATAAGTACTCAATCATAAATCTGGTTTGGTTTTATTTTTCTCTCTGAACTTGCTCCTCCGAAGTAGGGTTTCCCAGGACAACCCCAAACTGATGGGCTTTTTCTGAGGGTTCTCATCCCACGTTGGGTTCCAGAATTGGGGTTCCTTTCCTGTGAAGTGTGTGTGTGTGTGTGTGTGTGTGTGTGTGTGTGTGTGTGTATGGTGGAATCAGGATGTGGAATGAGAGTGTAGATTGGAACATCATTTTGACCTTGTGTGAGAAAGCAGCACCCTGCACAGGACTGGTGACAGAAAGCAGACATGAAGGGTCAGCTCAGCTCTTCGGTTTCAAAGCAGCCAGGCCCTGCCCCCCAGCAGGAGCTGCTGAGTAAAGAATGGAAAAACAGTTCCTAAGGGAAAACTCTTGTTTTTCTGGAAAACTGCCCTCTTGCCCTGGCTGGGTAGCTCAGTTGGTTAGAGCATTATTCCAATATGCCATGGTTGTAGGTTCGATCCTCAATCAGGGCACATACAAGAATCAATCAATAGCCCTCGCTGGTTTGACTCAGTGGATAGAGCATCGGCCTGTGGACTAAAGGATCCTGGGTTTGATTCTGGTCAAGGGCACATGCCTGGGTTCTGGGCTCCAGCCCATTAGGGGTGTGCAGGAGACAACTGATCAATGATTCTTATCATTGATGTTTGTATCTCTCCTTCTCCCTTCCTTTCTGAAATCAATAAAAATATATATATATTAAAAAAAACTCTACTTAAAAAAAAAAAAAAGATTCAATGAATGGGCAAATGAGTGAAATAGCAGGTCAATGCTCTTCTCTCCCCTTCCTTCTTCACTCTAAAATCAACAAATAATCCCTGGCCAGCGTGCTCAGTGGTTAGAGAATTGGCCTGAGAATTGAAGAGTTGTGGGTTCGATTCCTAGTCAAGGGTCCATTCCTGGATTGCAGGTTTGATCTCTGGCCCGGTTGGGTGCATGTGGAAGCAACCAATCTCTCTCTCTCTCTCTCTCTCTCTCTCTCTCTCTCTCCCCCTCTCTCTCTCTTTCTCTCTCTCTCTCCTCTCCCCTCTCTCTCTTTCCCATCTGCTTTCTCTGAAAATCAATGGAAAAAATATCTGGGTAAGAATTAACTCAAAAAAAATTTTTTTAATCAATGAATAAAAATTAAAAAACAAGACAAAAATGCAACTACTCTCTTGTTCCTTCTCCTTCATGTGTTCCACAGTCCTCTCTGGGCAGAAATAGCTGGAAAACAATGACTCATGTTCTAGACAGCTCTGGGCCCACCTGCCACGTCCCTGGTCTCCTAAGCTGCCCCAGCAAACACCAGCATCCCCAGAGACCAGGCTAGCATTGAGACTTCCCGAAGGGGCTCTCCATGATGCCACAGGTGTGTGTTTTCTGAGCCTCGCAGGGCAGAGGGGCAAAGGAGCTCTTCTCCCTGGACACACAGGTTCCTCAGGTAGCATGGTCTCAGGTATGTCTAGATCCAGTGCCTCTGGTTGATCTCCTAAAAAAGCTGCCCTTCCCTGTCTTTTGGCTCTGCTTTCTTCGTTTTTCTGTGTTTGGCATCATTCAAAGACGCCAAGTGGAGACCAGGCTGCCACCAGAAGTTCTAGACTTATATCAACCATGCTGCCTGTAGTTCTGAGGTTTATGGGGGGGGAGGGTAGAATTTCAAAATTAATTTCCTGTGGCTTTGATTGTATCAAACATGGTCTAAGTTGGTCCTGTGTCCGGTGATATGTGGTGTTTTGATTGGTCAAGACTGAGGTCATCAGGAGTATCATCAGCTCTGTCCTAGTCCTTAAAGACCAAGAATTAAGAGTGAAGCCTGGCTGGTGTGACTCCATCATTGACCATCAGCCTATAAATCAGGAGGTCACGGTTTGATTCCCAGTCAGGGCACATACCTGGGTTGTGGGTTTGCTCCCCAATCCAGGTCAAGTCACATGCAGGAGGCAATCAATCAATGTGTCTCTCTCACATCGATGTTTCTTTCTTTCTCTCCCTCTCTCGCTTCCATTCTCTCTAAAAATCAATAGAAAAATATATTCAGATGAAGATTAACAACAACAAAAAAAGAGCGGGGTGGTTGCCCAGGATAATCAGGGTGGTATTGCACAATGAGAATGTTATTGCAGGAAAAGGAGGGGACTCTGGGTAGACAGGTATAAGAGATACTCACCCAGGGTGGTGAACACCTGGGAGGGGTGACGAGTGCAGGGTGGAAGGGGTCATTGGGGGGGGGGGGGAAATGGGGCTATCTGTAATACTTTCAATAATAAAGATAAATTTTAAAAAAGAGAGATGCTCACCCTGAGCCTAAAAAAGTGCAGAAACCCTGGGGAGAGAGCACGTTACTCCACCTAGGGGGTTTGGGAAGGCTTCCCAAACGAAAGGACATTTGGAGCTGGGTGTTGAAGGGTAAATAGGAGTTTGCCAAGTAGCTTATGATCCAATGGGGAGTGAAACAGGCATCTAGGCAGAAAGCTGATCATTGCTCACATGTCCCATCTCCGTGTCCAGCGATGGTCCCTTCTGCCGGATCTGCCACGAGGGAGCGAACGGGGAGAGCTTGCTGTCTCCGTGTGGCTGCACCGGCACGCTGGGCGCCGTGCACAAGAGCTGTCTGGAGAGGTGGCTTTCCTCGTCCAACACCAGCTACTGCGAGCTGTGCCACACACCGTTCGCAGTGGAGAAGCGGCCGCGGCCCCTCACAGAGGTATGCTTAGGAGCATGAGGTTGGAGGGGGCAAGGGAGGGAGGCAGGAATGGGTCCAGAGGAGGGAACTGCCCGGAGCATCCTGGGGGGCTGAGGAAGCAGCTTCTTTATAGGATGAACCTCCTTCCTTCCTCCACTCTAGGGTAGAGTCCGCTGGGGGGAGGGAACTAGGCCTAAGCTTCCAGATCTGACAAACCCTGTGCCTGCCCCCTCCCCGAACTGGTCACTTTAAGTGACCTCTGAACCGGAGACCTGAGGAATGAAAAGGAGCCAGCAATGCCCAGAAGCCAGGGAGGGCAGTCCTGGCAGAGGGCACAGCAAGTGCAGAGGCCCCGAAACAGGAAGAGCTAAGTGTGCTTGACAAAGCCCGAGTGGCCAGAGTGGAACAAGCGAAAGCAGGAGGGGAGCCTGGCCAGAATGGCTCCGAGGTTGAGGATGACCTATGAACCAGGAGGTCACTGTTCGATAACTGGTCAGGGAACATGCCCAGGCTGCATGCTCGATCTCCAGCGAGGGGCATGCAGGAGGCAGCCAATCAGTGATTCTCTTTCATCATTGGTGTTTCTCTCCCTCTCTCTTCCTCTCTGAAACCAATGAGGAGGAGGAGAGAAACGTAGAGGGAGGTGGTAGCAGCCACACTGGGTTTTGTGGTCCTTGCTGCGGGTTAGAATTTAGCCTGCGTGGGATGTGTGTGGGCGGAGATAGGGCATTCCCGGGCCTGGCTGTTCCCCTGCTCCTTAGAGCTCTGCCTGCGGACCACCCGGAGGCTCTTGACGCCCCTCTCTGCCCAGCTGGGCAGAGGCTGCTGAGAGCTCCGGGTGAAGACAGTGGGCTGAGGTGTGGGCTCGGAAAGGTTCTGGCACACGTGGGAACGGGCTCTTAGAGCAGGGGAAGGAGAGCTTGCCCTCCTGTAGCCCCTTCTCCTCCTGCTCCAGCCACACGGGCCTCCTTCCCACGTACTCTGTCCTGGTCACACACTCCCGACTCAGGGCCTCTGCCTTTGCTGTTCCCGCTGCCTGGAGTGCTGTCTCCCCATTCTTTTTTTTTTCTTTCTTTTTTTTTAATATTTGTTATTTATTTTAAAAAATATATATATTTTATTGATTTTTTACAGAGAGGAAGGGAGAAGGATAGAGAAAGTTAGAAATATCAATCAGCTGCCTCCTGCACACCCCCTACTGGGGATGTGCCCGCAACCAAGGTATATGCCCTTGACAGGAATCGAACCTGGGACACTAGATTTTTATCCACTGAGCCAAACCAGTTAGGGCTTCCCATTCTTCACATGGCTCCTTCTGCTCATCTGGTCCTCATGTCACCTCCTCAGCAAGGCCTTCCCCTCTGAGCACCCACTGTTTTGTACCTCATGCCATTGGCACTGGGGGGCAGGGACTCTCTCTGTCCTGTTCATCAGAATTTCATGAGTGAAGCTGTTTTTCTTGCCCACTCACCTGTGACAGGCAGTGTAGCACAGCTTTCAAGGGCACACAGGCCCTGGAGCAAGACTTCCTGGCTCCCAGTCCTGGCTTTGTGAGTTTGTGTAAGTTCGCACAAATGAGTCAGCCCCTCTGTGCCTCTGTTTCCCCATCTGTAAAATGAGGCCAAGATGCCCCGCAGTGCCTGGGTTACTAGAGGCTCATTAAGTATTTGTAAGAAGAACAAGAGGGAGGGAGGTGCCAGGCGGGAGGCTGGGCCTGCGGGGCCCGTGGTCACAGCGGTGTCAGCAGAGGGAGGCACAGGGTCTTGCACCCCCTCCCTGGGTTGGAAGAGCTGAAGGGTGGTGTGTTGCTTCTCTCAGCAGCTCCCTCCTTTCCTTACCCCTGGCAGTGGCTGAAGGACCCAGGGCCTCGGACAGAGAAGCGGACGCTGTGCTGTGACATGGTGTGTTTCCTGTTCATCACTCCTCTAGCCGCCATCTCGGGCTGGCTGTGCCTGCGCGGGGCCCAGGATCACCTCCAGCTGCACGGCCGGCTCGAGGCTATGGGGCTCATTGCCCTCACCATTGCCCTCTTCACCATCTACGTCCTTTGGACGCTGGTGAGTGGCTGTCCGCCAGAGGGTCTCTGGCTTACAGCAGCCAGACCAGGGTTTGGTCAGTGGCTTGGGGAAGGGAGATCCTTCCTGTGTCTCCGTGTAGCCCTGAGTGAAACCTCAGATTCCAAACTCAACCCAGGTTTAGTTCCCTGAGCTGGGTGAGCCTTCTGTTCCAAGGAGCCCAGGACACCTAATCACCAGTACTGAGTGTAGGCATTGCCATCCACGTGCCCACCAAGACTGGACAGGGCTGGCAGGAAAGGGAGAGAGAGGGAGGGAAGGAGAGAAGGGGGAGGGAGAATGGGGTGGGGGAGAGAGAGAGAGAGAGAGACCAAACGACAGAAAGAGCAGGAGAATGGGAGACCAGAGAAGAGTAAATCAAGAGACTGAGAAAAAAAGCTACGGAAGGAGAGCCGGGGACTGGGTGGAGGAGTTGTCAGGCCTCTGGCAGGCGTTAGAACCCTTCCTCAGGGAGAAAAGGGCCTCCAAAGTCTTGCCCCTCAGGTCTAACCACTGGTGCCTGCCTGTGGGGCATTCCCACCTCAATAATTACTGTTCACTGCATTCACCAGTTTATTTAAAAAATATATAAATAGGATGACACAGGTGCTGATTTGCAGTCTGCTTGTTTTAACTTTGCTAATGTCCTTTAAACAAAAAGGGCAGCCACCCACCATTCATTATATGGGTGTATAACATTGACTTAATTAATCCCTTTGATAGGGTCTGGGATGTATTCTGAAGTTCATTTTTCTTCCTTTTTTTTCATGCTGTTATGAGCAGTGCTTTGGGCACAACCCATGTAAATGTTTCTTGGAACTTGCTTGGTCAAAGAGTATAAACCATTGACGTTTATTTAAAAATAATTTGTATAGACTTTATTTATTTATTTTTTAAAAATATATATATTTTATTGATTTTTTTTTTTTTTTTTTTTAGAGAGGAAGGAAGAGAGATAGAGAGCTAGAAATGCAGATGAGAGAGAAACATCGACCAGCTGCCTCTTGCACATCCCCTACTGGGTATGTGCCCGCAACCAATGTACATGCCCTTGACCGGAATTAAACCTGTGAGCTTTCAGTCCGCAGACTGACACTCTACCACTGAGCCAAACGGGCTTCTGCTAGACTTTATTTATTAGGACATTTTAAGATTCTAATAAATAAAGCAAAATTGATCAGAAAGTATAGAGTGCTCATATATTCTCCTCCATACACAGAGCTTCCCCCCTCTATCCACATGGCATCAGAGGGTACATTTTTTACAATTAATGAATCTCCATTGATACATCACTATTACCCCAAGTCCATAGGTTACATTAGGGTTCATCCTGGGTAGTACATCCTGTGGGTTTGGATAAATGTATCATGACATGTATCCACCGGGACAGTATCATACAGAGCAGTTTTACTGCCCTAAGAATCCTCCGTACCTCTGCTATTCATCCCTCCTCTCCTATCCTCAGCTCCTGACAACTCCATAGTTTTGCCTTTTCCAGAATGTCAGAGTGTTGAAATTATGCAGTTCGTAGCCTTTTTAGACTGGCTTCTTTCACTTAGGAACATACATTTAAGTAAGGTTCCTCCGTGTCCTTTCATAGCCAGCTAGCTCATTTCTTTTTAGTGCTGAATATTTCATCGTCTGATGTTCCACAGTTTATTTATCTGTTCACTTACTGAAGGATATCCTGGTGGTTTCCAAGTGTTGGCAATTATATAATCACGTTCAAGTGGCCATACCACCCTCTGAGAGACCCTCACATTGGCAGGGTCTTGAACGCTGGAGGAGACTTTCCCCACAATAGTGAATGGGTTTGTGTGCACAGTCCGTATGAAAAATACTGGCAGCTGTCTCTTTTTCTGGAAGTTTGAGCCAGTGTCTCAGGAGTCCAGTCTTCTTCCCTTGGGGGTGGAGGCCTGCTGGCTGGCCTTCTCACCCATCTCTGCACTGCCCTTAGGTCTCCTTCCGCTATCATTACCAGCTGTACACTGAGTGGAGAAGGACCAACCAGAAAGTACACCTGAAGATCCGGGACATGGAGGGCACCGAGGCTACGCAGCACTCCCTGCTGGCAGCAGGCTTCCTGAAGAAGGTGGCAGAGGAGACGCCTGTGTGAAGGCTGAGCTGGCAGGCCAGAGGCAGCTGACGATGCCCTGGCTTTTGGGAGAAGGGAAACTGCCCGACCCTTCCTGCACGGCCAGAATGCTTCTTAGGCCCAGAGACGGCGAGTGGAGCTGGTTCTGTGGTCCTGTGCGAAGATGTTTCCAGATTGTTTTGCACATGTTGTGTAAGAGGAGGACAGATGGAAGTGGTCCTGAGCTGCCCCTGGAGCAGGCACCCTGATCTCATTCTGAGGGCCACTCGGCTCCTTGCGGGCCAGCAGTCATGGCCATCGGCTAGCTGAGGGTGTCCATGGGCTGGAGGTTCCGCAAGCTTCTTATGCTTCTCTGCATCTGGCAGGCTTACTTTCCTGGCACCTTGACTTTATAAAGTTGCACTGAGTTTCAAAAACCCACCCTGAATGAATAAAAGGAGCCCTTGCTGGATAAAATGGACGTGTCAATTGTATTTAGAACTAAGGTCTCAGTGAGGGACGTGGGACCACAGGGAGTCAGAGACCACACCGAGGTTTTTAAAAAATGTGCTGGTTTGAAGCATCTGTTGTGAAACACGGCAGAAGCAGCTAAATCTGAGTTTTCAAGTGAAGAGCAGGTAGTATGATTATATAGTAAATGATTTAAAATAAATACACATAACAGTTTCCACTTATTTTGCATCCACTTATTTGTGGGCCAGTTACAATGTACACACTTATTGAGGGTCACCCAGGATGAGGCTCAGTTCACAATTTTCAAAGACTTCCTCCAACTCTCACTAGCATTCTCAGCAGGAAGAATGGCTGTTGCCTCCACTTTACAGATGAGAATACAGAGGGCCAGAGCAGGGAATCTTCTATCTAAGATCCCACAGTTCTAGGATGCAGAGTTGGGACTGACCATGGGCCTGCATGGCCCCAGTGCTGAGCTTCGTGCTTTCCCTTTCTGGAGGACTCAGGAAGGATGACATGTCAATAATAGTACCCACTTATTTTTTTTTAATCCTCATCTGAGGACATGCTTTAGAGAGAGGAAGAGGAGAGGAGAGAGAGGGAGAGAGGGGGAGAAGGGAAGAGGGAGAAAAGTGTCCTGGCCAGGGATCACAACCCAGGCATGTGTACTGGCCAGAAATCAAACTGGCAAGCTTTTGGTGCACAGGTTGCCGCTCAGGTAACAGCCACTCTGGCTGGGCAATAGCACCCTCTCACTTCATGAGCCCTTTTTGAGCCTTTTATGTTTGAGGGCTTTCTGCATCAGGTCCCATTTAATACTCAGACCAGCCCCAAAAGGTAGGTTCTGTTTTCTCTCATTAACCTCACTGACAGGTGAGCAAAGTGGGGCTCAGAGCAATGGGACACTTGCCCAACGTCATTCATTCATGATGGTCTTAGCACGGTTCTATTGTTTTCTGCATGAATCTCTGACTAGTCTGTGTCGTGGAAGGAACCGCAAAGAGCAAAGGCCTGGGGACCGGAGCCTGTGAGGCCTGTGGAAGCAGCAGCATGGCAGACGATGGTGCTGGGGCAATGTGATGGGGGGGTGGGGCAGAGGGATAGGAGAGAGGTAGAAAGATAAGTAGGGCTTTGTAAGCATCTGGGGGGCTGCAGAAAAACAGGATTATACCTTTAAAAAAATTTTTTTTTATTTTATTGATTTCAGAGAGGAAAGGAGAGGGAGAGTTAGAAACACCAATGATGAGAATCATTGATTGGCTGCCTTCTGCACACCCCACATTGGGGATCGAGCCTGAAACCCAGGCATGTGCCTGACCTGGAATGGAACCATGGCCTCCTGGCTCATAGGTCGATGCCCTGAGCCACACTGGCCGAGCTATACCTTTCTTGCCTCTGCAGCGCTCACTCTCTGCCCCGGCCTAGCCCTTGGAGTGTGGTACCACTGAGATAATGCAAAGGAGCCCCAGGATACGGTATATCATCATGAAATGAGAAAGCTGTTTCCTTTACAAATCTCTTCTGAGACTTTCAATTGGGTATAGGAGAAAGCTGCAGCTTGGTGCTAGGCTCTTTAATGACCTCTTACCTTAGCAAAGAGAGCAAGTGATAGGCTCAGAGCCTTTGGCAGCATGCATGCCGAATTTATACTGAATAGTGTCACCCTCATATTCATATAGCATCAATCTCTTTCTTACATATCCTCAAATATATGTATTTGAGAGAACATGTATTAAAGCTGAGGACAGTGAAACAAGGAAGGGCTTACGTGAGGCTGCTTTGGCACAGTAAAGCCACAGTGACAGGAGGAAAGGCAGGGCTGGGCTGGCTCACTGACAAGTCGGAGAAGGGGGGGTCTTGGAAACAGGTTCGGGTGGCAAGCCCAGGAGGAGCTGCCGCTGCCATTGCTCCCTTGGTTGGGACCCTTAAAACTTAGGAAGGAAAAGAAAAAAAATGCCTGAGGAAGAAATGGGGAGGAATAAGCTATTTAAAAATTTTTTTTTTTTTACAATAAGCTCTTTATGGCGACTTTACAATATGGGCTATGATGTAAAAGCACGATTTTAAAAATGCAATTAAAATTAATTATGAGATTTTTTTTTAATTTTAATTTTATTTTATTTTCCTCCGAGAGAGATTTGTTGTTCCACTTATTTATGCATTCATTGGTTGAATCTTAGAGGTGCTCCAACTGGGATTGAAACAATCAGGACGATGCTCTAACCAACTAAGCTACCTGGCCAGGGCAATTTTTTAATTGAATTTATTGGGGTGACATCAGTTTATAAAATTTTATGTTTCAAGTGTACAATTCTATAATCGTATATTGTATTGTGTGTTCACCACCAAGTCTCCTTCAATCACCTCTTATCTTCTCTATATTCTCTTCTACCTCCCCCATCCCCCTTTCCCTCCAGTAATCACTATACTGTTGTTGGTGTCTATGTTTTGTTTTTTGTTTTAATTCAAATTATAAGACAAAGGTTATTTAGAAGGTTACAGAGGTAGTAGAAGGGAGCCAGCTGGGCTTACGGCTCAGTAAACAAGTTACAGAGGCAGAAGGGCCTATGGCACTTAGGAGAGAGGCAAAGGGAAGGGGTTGCAGGTGGGGGGGGGAGGGGGCGCGGAAAGGTCAGACACAGGTGAGTTTCCCAGATGAAGAGTGTGCCTGAGTTTTTTTGTTTGTGTTGACTTAATCTTTTTACTTTTTTTTTAATTAAAATTTTTTTTATTAAATTATTATCTTTGTACATATTCCATTGTCCCCTACTCCCATATATGCCCTTCCTCGCCAGAGTTTTGTGTCCATTGGTTGTACTTATATGCATGTATATAAGTCCTTCGGTTCATCTCTTATCTCCCCCAGATAATCTTTTTACTTTTTGACCCAGATCCCCAAACCGCATAAAGCACAATTTAAAACATATGCTTTTAAAGGAAAATAAAGTGTATTCATAAAAGGAAAGTGTGAAGGAAATACTAGTTCAGAAGACGGCAAAGCCCAGGAATTTGGGCAGCGTTGGCTCAAGTCACCAGCCTGTAGGAGCCCTCAGATTGGAAGGGAAGAGGGTTTGTCTCCTCGGCCGGGCCTGGTTTCTCACTAATCTCCAGTCACACCCACTGCAGGAGGAAGGTCAGAGAAGTAGCTTCTTGTCCCTGATGCTTTGCATTTGGATTTCTCTCCCTGATTCTGACAGGCTGCTGTGGTCTCTTCCCCATCTCTGAGCCCTGCTGGGCAAGGACATTCAGAGGTTTGTGAGCCTTCTGTGCCAGGCTTCCCTCTGGTGTAGAAGTCTGAGGGAGAGCGAGGTGGATGACCCAGTAGATACGTCTAATTCCAGTTTGCTCCGGGAATCTATAATGATAAAAGCATAATATACTAATTAGACCAGGCATCCTTCCCCACGATCTTTTGGACGAAGCCGGGGCTGCGAGGGAATTCAGTACCGGTAGCCTGAGGCCCCAAATTTCACGCTTGGGGCCGCTAGTAAAAGAAGAAATGAATAGCAGCTACTGGTCCCAGCCTGTGGGCACAGGGGGCGTGGCCGGGAGCGGGGGCGTGGCCGCCAGCGGCAACGCGCGCAGGCGTTACCGGTCACGCCGGTCACGTGAGCGCGCAGGCGCAGCGCCGTGCAGTCTGTTCCCTCACACAAAGCCCAGACGCGGAGAAAATGGCGGCAGGGGTCGAGGCGGCGGCCGAGGTGGCGGCGACGGAGCCCAAAATGGAGGGGGAGAGCGGCGCGCCCGGCGCGCCAAGCGGCAACGGGGTTCCGGGTCCGAAAGGGTGAGTATGTCGCGGTTTCTTGGCCCGGGCCAGGCATTTCGCGGCGCCGGCTCCGTTAAGTCTGTTGGCTGCCTCCCTCAGGCGCGGCCTCGTTCTAGGCCTTCCCCGCGGGTCTGCCGAGGGTGGGGGCGGCCAAGGCCGTCAGGAGTGCAGCCGGGGGGCCCCGGGAGCGCCTCCCAGATTGCTCTTTCGCTCTAGACCTCGGGGCTCCGCTCTTCCGGTTCCTCCAGGCCGGGTCCGTCCCCGAGGCCGCAAGTCAGGCCTCTGGGCGCGGGATGATGGCGCGGGGCCCAGGGCCGTCGAGTCCCCGAGGCCGCGGCCCCCTCACCTGTCGGGTGACCTTGTGCGCGGGGTTTATTATTTCCCTCCAAAACTCCACCCCTTACCTGGGGTCTCAGTTTCCCGATCGGTCCGGCGGGGGGCGGGGGCGTAGCGTGCAGGACTTGGCACGCGGTTGGCCCCGGTAAACGGTAGCGGAGGCGGGTGGGGACTGGGACCGCGCGGACAGTTCCGGCCGCCTCTTCCCTCCTCGCGCCGCCTCCCGCCCGCCCGCCGCCGCCCCCACCCCGCTCCGCGCCGGGTGCGGGGTCCGAACTGCCCCTCGCCCCGCGCCCCGCTCCATCCCTCGCCGCTCCTCCCCAGGTGTGCAGGAGGTATTCCTACAGCAACCGGGCCCGCTGCTTCGTGTTCACCCTTAGAAACAAGCAGGGAAAAAGAGAGGAAAAACATCCTTTTCCGTGTTCTAGGGGGAGATTTTCCATCAGTTGCCTGGCTACCCTCTTCCAAACTCCCGTCATCTTTTTGAGTCCTGTTTGGGGCTCTGTCTCGGATCCTTTTTCTTTTTTTTTTTTTTTTAATTTCATTAAAGCATGATCTTCCCCTGTGAAACCCACTCATTCTGATTACAATCACCTGAAAGAAAAGCGTTTTGGCTCTGACCACTGGTGTGGGGAGGAGAGGAAAAAGCTGGGCACACATTTGACTTCCCACACGTTTTTATAAATTGTAACATATATTATGTATACATAGTATAGAATTTACAATTGTAACTATTTGAAGTGTGAGATTCGTTGTCATTAAGAGCATTCAATGTTATGTAACCATTACTACCATCCATGTCCAGAACTTTTTCAACATCCCAAACTGTAGCCACTAACCAATAACTTCGATTCTCCCTGACTCCTTGTTATGAATTTTCCTTCTGCCCAAATTTTTAAAATGTGCATGACTACAACTTGTGGGGGTTAATATGAACGTAGTGAAAAGCATTTTATGTTAATGAGCATTACTAAATACTGGCTTTGGTAAACTTAGGTGAGGAAAAAAATATGATGGTTGTCCTCAGAAATCAAAAGGAAGGCATTTTGGAAATACTCTCAACACTTTATTATTGAAAACTCTGGAAAGGAATTTGTTCATTTTAGACTTTTTTCTTTTTTTTTTTTTTTTTTTTTTTTAAATATATTTTATTGATTTTGTACAGAGAGGAAGGGAGAGAGAGAGTTAGAAACATCGATGAGAGAGAGTCATCGATCAGCTGCCTCTTGCACACCCCCTACTGGGGATATACCCGCAACCAAGGTACATGCCCTTGACTGGAATCGAACCCGGGACCTTTCAGTCCCCAAGCCGACGCTCTATCCATTGAGCCAAACCAGTCCTGGCCATTTTAGACTTTTTTCATCATCTGTCCAGGCTCTAGGGTATCCTCATTGGATTCTGAGAGCCTTGTTCGGAGGGCTTTAGGTACATTTAATGTCCCTAATCTTTTCTCCAAAGCACTTAATCGCAGGGTGGAGCGCTGCTAGAATCGGGCCGGATGAGAAGTTGAATTTGTTATAGATACATAGCGTCCGGGGTACTTTATTAAATTTCCCGTTTTTCACTGTTCATTTTCAAATAATTTTGTGGCTGATTCATTTGACAAACGTAACACGAACTATTAAAAGTAAAAATTTACTCTGCATTGAATCCTTTGCAGCTGGCCTCTTACCCATGTACCATTTCAGAACAGGTGGACAAAAACAAAGCTCGCTGTTAAATAAATAAAAAATGTATATTTAGTTTAGATTATCGGGAAGGTAATGCTTGTGTTAACTTTGTTTTGCAAGCAAGAAAAAAAATATTTTTTAACCATTTAGAAAACTCCGGTTAAGATAATTGACCCAAAGATTCTTCCAATAAAAAAAAAAAAAAAAAAAAGGAAAAGAAAATCTTCCATTTACATGACACTACCCTGGTAACCTCTCACTAAATGCAGCCATTCAAAGTTTATTATTTACTTTTAATCCTCACAGGAGGATATTTTTTCCACTGATTTTTAGAGAGAGTGCAGGAGAGGGAGAGAGAAACAAATATGTATCAAAGTGATAGAGACACATGGATTGGTAACCTCCTTCACACACACACCCCTGGTTGACTTCCTCATGCATCCCACCAGCCTAGGTACAGTACTTGTCCTTGACTGGGAATTGAACTCGAGACCTTTTGATATTGGGGCTTACACTTTAACCACTGAGTAAAACTGGGTAGGGCTGAAGTTTACTATTTAAATAATGATTTTAGAAAATATATACTTTTATTGAATTCAGAGAGGAAGGGAGAGAGAAATGAGAGGAAGTGATGAGATAGAATCATTGATCAGCTGCCTCCTGCATGCCCCACACTGGGGATCCAGCCGGCAACCCGGGCATATGCCCTAACCAGGAATTGAACTGTGATCTGGTTCATAGGTCAATGCTCACTCACTGAGCCATGCCGGCTAGGCAAAATAATAATGATTTGAGTGGGGTTTTGTTGTTTTGGGCTGTACGTTAAAAAGTATTTCTGTACTTGATAAAAGAAAAAAGAATTTTGAGGTACATTATATTCTGTGCTCTGGATTCGAATAGAGGCTCTGGGTTGTTTGAATGCCTGCAGCCATTTTTTGCTTTCACTTTGGTCTGGGATTTTAGTCATGGTTATGCAAGTGATAACAGACTACAAACATTAGGCTGCTTGTTTTCTGGTTCTCAGGTGGATTCTCTCATTACAGAGTTGAACACCGAATTATTCCTTCAGTATCTGTAAGCACAATGCCTGTGTTTCCTCAGCCATTGCCTTGGTGAGCTGTTTGAAAGCCTAGTAGGTATATGCAACAGTAGAAAGCTAGGAGTGAATTCGTCCCCTTCCCTGCCCTCAAGAAAATGATTGGTAGGAAAATATATCACTGCCAAAGTCACTGTGTGCCAACTCTCGCTTTTTATTTATTTATTTATTTTTTAAGTCTCGTTTTTTAAACCTTTTACAGATGAAGGAATTGCTTAGTTTAGATCTCAATTGTAGGACCCTACCTCTTAAGTCACCTGTATTAACTGCTCCCTTAAATGTTGCACTTAATGTTTACCAAGTTGTTATTTTTTGTTAGGTTGTTTGTTGATTCTCACAGCATCCCTGTGAGCTAGGTCAGTGGTCGGCAAACTCATTAGTCAACAGAGCCAAATATCAACAGTACAACAATTTGAAATTCTTTAGAGAGCCACATTTTTTAAACTACAATACTTCTAACGTCACTTCTTCCAAATAGACTCGCCCAGGCCATGGTATTTTGTGAAAGAGCCACACTCAAGGGGCCAAAGGGCTCTCTAGGTGGATATAGTTTATGCTGGTAAACAGCCAGGGAGGAAAAGAGCTTGAGTCAATGTGGGTGGTTAAGTGGGCCTGGAGCTAGAACAGTGTGATGAACTGTGCGCTCCACATCTTAACCATTTGTATGCCATAAGTGTCTATAGATCAAGCAGTGGACCTTTTAAAATTAAAGCTGTGGCATTTAACTGGTTAAATGCGTTAGAGGAGCTCAGGCTTGAAAGGGTCCTGTGAAGAATCATTTTATATAAGGAATAGTTTTAAAGGAGATAGGAGGGAAGGGATTCTTTTTAGGGTATCAAGATTGCACTCTTGGTTGAAGAACTCTACAAATAATATTATTATTCATGAGAATGTCACGGAGGCATGAGAGGTTAGGGATTTGCTATTTTAACAGAGCCTTTAGCCAGTTTGGCTCTACGGAGGGTCGGCCTGTGTACCAAAGGGTCCTGGGTTTGATTTCTGTCAAGGGCACGTATCTTGGTTTCGAGCTCCTCATTGGCCCTGACCCTGGTTAGGGCTTATGCAGGAGGTAACCAATCGATGTGTTTCTCTCACATTAATGTTTCTCTGTCTCTCTCCTACTCTCCCTAAAATTCAATGAAAAAATATCCTCAGGTGAGGATTAACAGAAAACAAACAAAAAAAATAAACAGAGAATGTAGCAGTCCTTTGTGGAGTAGGAACTTTAAAAATTGTTTTGTGATTTTTAAAAAAAAATATATTTTATTGATTTTTTTAGAGAGAGGAAGGGAGAGAGATAGAGAGCCAGAAACGTCAATGAGAGAGAAACATCGACCAGCTGCCTCCTGCACATCCCCTACCAGGGATGTGCCCGCAGCCAACGTAATGCCCTTGACCAGAATCGAACCCAGGACCTTTCAGTCCACAGACCGACGCTCTACCACTGAGCCAAACCGGTTTCGGCTTGTGATCTTTTTTTTTTTTTTAAATATGTGTACTTTTTATTGACTTCAGAGAGGGGGAGAGAGCTGGAAATATCAATGATGAGAGAGAATCATTGATTGGTTGCCTCCTGCAAGTGCCCTATTGGAGATTGAACCTGCAACCCTGGACATGTGCCCTGACCAGAATCAAACCTAAGACCTCCTGGTTCATAGGTCGATGCTCAATCACTGAGCCACACTGCTAAGACCAGTTGTGATCCTTATGTATAGTATAATTCTAGTATTGTGGAGCAGTGGCATGATAAATTATCAATTTTCAAAGAATGCAGTCAGTGAAACAATTCCAAAGCATATTAGACATATTCTTATTTTAATTAAAATTAATTATGTCTAACATGGAAAGTGCTTTCAGATATCTTAAGCTTGTCTTTACTGATGTATTATGAAATAGGTTTATAGAATTTCAGGAAGTTTTGGTTATATTGGTTCTATTTAAAACTTTGGTGGGCGAGTGGGTATCAGAATCAGATGAAATCAAAATCATTGGCAATTGGGAATTGAGAGCCAGGTAGCAAGGAGAATATTGATTGGTAAGACATTTTAGCTAGCCTAGGTAAACCACTTACTATGGTTTCATAGTAAGTTTCTTTGAAAGATTACAAATTTGCCCTAACCCATTTGGCTCAGTGGATAGAGCTTCCACCTGCGGACAGAAAGGTCCCAGGTTCAATTCCGGTCAAGGGCATGTACCTTGGTTGTGGGCACATCCCCCGTGGGAGGTTTGTAGGAGACAGCTGATCGATGTTTCTCTCCCATCAATGTTTCTAACTCTATCCCTCTCCCTTCCTCTCCGTAAAATGTCAATAAAATATATTTCAAAAAATAGTGTTGTATAATAGGCACGATAAACACATATTGGAAATTAGAGGCTGGTGCATGAAATTCATGTACAGGTAGGATCCCTAGGCCTGGCTGACAATTAGGGCCTTCCTTCATCCTGCAACACCCTGGTGGTGGTCAGTGCACATCATAGTGAGTGATCCAACTCCAGTATCCTAGTTGAACTCCCCAGGGGACACTTTGCTTGCATACTAGCCTTTTATATATATATCTCTTTGCACTCCGCTGTCCCCTCTCAGGGGACATCGGAATTCTAGCATATCACTGAGATGTCCCCTCTCAGGGGAGACATTGCAGTTTATTAGTGATTACGGGGAATTGAGTTAATTCAACGCACGTGTCCGCCGCAAAGTAGCGTCAAGTAGCTGGTAGCCAATGCCCAGAACGGTTCGGAGTGCAAAGGGATATGGATGGAGATATATATATATATATATATATATATATATATATATGTGTGTGTGTGTGTGTGTGTGTGTGTGTGTGTGTGTGTGTGTGTGTGTATATATTTATTTTCCTCCTCACCTGCCAAGAGTAAGCAGTTAGCCCTGGCTGGTTTTGGCCTGTGGCCTGAAAGGTCCAGGGTTCGATTCCAGTCGGGAGCACATGTCTGGGCTGCCGGCTCGATCTCTGGGGAGGGGGCGGGATGTGCAGGAGGCATCTGATCAGTGATTCTCTCTCATCATTGATGTTTCTCCCTTTCCTCTCTAAAATCAATAAAAATATATATTGTATTTAAAAAAAGGGAAGCAATTGGCAGAAGTTTCATTTGAAGTAGACAGGTTCCTTCTAAGTCTGATGTGCAGCCAGCCTGAGAAAGATCTACTGTAAATCTGAATGGACAGAATAAGGAGTTCTAGGGATCCTGAGACCTCGAGTGGCCATACCTCCCACATCTACCAGCTAGAAGTCCATTTTATGTTGGTATAGTTCAGATCTTGGAAGCTGCTTTCTTTAGTTTTGCTTAGGGATAATACCTTCATTGGGTTCCCACTTGGCACCCTTTTATTTGGATGTGAAGGACTAGTTTAAAAAAGACAAACCACTTTCTAATTTTTCCAGATATGCTAAAAGAAAGTCTTCCATATATCACCCAGTGTTGGAACACCATTCCTCCCAAACACAAGTAAGAATCCTGGAATAAAGATCAGCCCTTGTATTCAGTGAAGGTAGTTTTGTAAATCATCTGTACCATAGTTTTTGGCTTTTTGTTTTTTTCCATTTGTGTCATGGATCACAAATCCGCTGCTGGAATTTGTGGTTTGGGAGTCTCAGGATTCTCACCAGTGGAAAGACCAGGGTTAAGGAAGTAGAAAGTATACTCAGTGCCTTGAGAAGAACTATGGCTACCAGCCAACTCCCCAGTAGTTCCTGATCAGGAACACAGGTGTTGCCGTTGTTTGGCTGTGGAACAGGAAGTTTAGGAACAGCCTCACTTTGGCTGTGCACACACTGGCCTCTTGTCCCTAGGCTATGCCTGTCCGGCCTAAAGTCTGGTTTCGTGCTTTGGAAGTTTGCATTTCTTGTGAACCTTTTTTAATTTCCTAATCTAAGCTGAATTTGTATGTATGGAGCTTAGAACTGAAATGTTACAACATAGAGGCACCTAACACACCAAGGAGAAAAGTATTTCAAGAAAGGCCATGTCCAGAAAAAGCATCCACCCTTCTTTGCAAAAGTTGGGATTGTTTGTGTGCTGACTTTAATGTACCAGGTTTGCTCAGACTTTGGTATTCCTAGCGTCAAAGTTGGGTTGTGTAGAGCAGTGTTTTTCAACCATTTTTGGGCAAAGGCACACTTGTTTCATGAAAAAAATCACGAGGCACACCACCATTAGAAAATGTTAAAAAATTTAACTCTGTGCCTATATTGACTATATATAAAGTAATTCTCTTGAATAGGAATCAAATAAACACAAAGAAAGTATTTTATAATTACTTTATTATGAAATATTAAGTAAACAAAATAGTGAAAAATTATAAAATTCTTGTCTTGTCTGCACCTACGGCACACCAGGCAACATCTCCTGCGGAACAGCGGTTGAAAAACACTGGTGTAGAGAATAGTTTCTTTCCCTTAAATTTTTTTTTTGTGGTACAATACATGTAAGAGTTGCATTTTAACCATTTTAAGTGTACAATTCAGTGGCATCAAGTACAATGTTGTACATTATACCACAATCTACGTATTTTCTACTTCCAGAGCTTTTATCATTCCAAACAGAAACTCTAGCTTGTTTAACAGTATATTTTCAAAATTCATCTGTGTTACAACATGTCTCAGTATTTCATACCCTTTTATGGTTGAATAATATTCTATTGGATTTATATACTACATTTTGTTCATTCTGTTCATCTGTGTGGACAATTAGGTTTTTTTCACCTTTAGGCTATTATGGATAATACTGCTAGTGACATATAAGTATTTGAGTCTTTGCTTTCAGTTCTTTGGGAATGAATTGCTGGGATATGTAATGATTATATTTTTAAAATATTTTTGTTTTATTAACCCTCACCTGGAAATATTTTTTCCATTATTTTTCAGAGAGAGAAAGGAAAAAGGTGGGGGGAGGTAGGTATCGAGATCTACATGTGAGAGAGACACATGTACTGGTTGTCTCCCACACACACTTGGAGTGGTGACAGGAGGTGAACTGGAAACCCAGGGAGGTGCCCTTGACCAGGAATAGAATTTGAGGCCCTTCTGTGCAAGTGCTGATGCTCTAGAACCACACCGGCCAGAGTGTGGTTATACTATGTTTTTTAACTTTTTGAGTAATTGCCACACTGTTATATAGCAGCTGCACCTTTTTTGTTGTTAATCCTCACCTGAGGGTATTCCTCCCCCTCTTTTTTTTTTTTTTTTTTTTTTTTTTTTTTTTTTGAGTGGAAAGGGTTAGGGGAGAGATCAAGCCTGCAACTAAGGTACATGCTCTTGATTGGATTGGAATTGAACCCAGGATTCTGTATTCTGCAGGCTGACTCTATCCCCTGAGCTAAACCAACTTAGGGCTTACATTCCCACTTAAAACAATTAAAAACACATACACAACAAAAGGCACTTTTATTTGTGAAGCTAAAATTGATTAGGTCTGTGTGTATCACTTCATTTCTGTTCCATGAGATTTAATCTTTTTTATTTTATTATTATTTTTTTAAAGTTTTTTAAGAGGGAGAGGAAGGGAGAAGGGAGAGAAACATCGATGTAAGAGCAGAACATTGATTGACTATCTCCTACAGAGGATTGAGCCCACAACCTGGGTGTGTATCCTGACCTGGGATGGAACCAGCAACCTTTTGGTGCATGGGACAGTGTCCAACCATGCCCAGTCTTTCCTTCTCTTTTCTATTTCTGTCTTGGAACTAAAGCACCCAGGCAGGGAGTTGGCCTCTTACTCCCATCTCTGTTATGCCCCATAGTAGTGTGTGAATGGCTAGAGAGCAGACTTTTCTTGGGACCAGTTTCTTTTTTTCCCCCTTTTAAATACGTATTTTATTGATATCAGAGAGGAAGGGAGAGGGAGAGAGAGACAGAAACATCAGTGATGAGAAAGAACCACTGATCAGTTGCCTCCCTCATGCCCCACACCGGCGATTGAGCCCACAACTGGGAATTGAACTGTTTCCTTCTGGTTCATAGGTCAACGCTCAACCACTGAGCCATGCCGCTGTGTTGGGACCAGTTTGATAGGAGGGTGTAAGGTAGGGGTGTCGAACTCAATCAGAGAAGGGGCCAAAATCTAAAATCCAGCCTAAATCGCGGGCCGAATGGTTTACTGAACAGTCATAAACTGTCATTGTGATGGAAACGCAGCGGAGTGCAGTGA